GAGAATGTAGATAAGTAGTGTTAAAAGTTAACTTGATTTGTAAGGTTATAGAATTAAATTTAAAATGTATATATTTTTTTTATCTTTGGTTTATACTAAATTAACATACATTATCTCATTAAAAAAAAATGTATGACTTCGTCTCATATTCTTCGTTTCATATTTTTATTTCGTCCTTGATTTTGTTCCAATTCCTGAGCAAATGGTTGACTGGTGACGAAAATGTTCAATTTTAACGTATCAACGTTCATTGTCAGTGTTAGATCGTTCTGCCACAAAAAAAAAAGTTCCTAAAGTTCTTTTTTTTTTTGCTGGAGATGAGGGAGAATGTAGCGTTTACGCTACTGATTAACCCCTTTAGAAATTTTTATTACCCGCCTACGATCGATTTTAAATCGACATTTCCCCACCCACGCGCTGTTATCGCTTTGAAAGGAAGATCGATTTTATGCGGAAGCGGAACGATTAGTTTTGGTCAGAACTCGTTAACGCAGCCACGTCAACCGGTGAAATGTTTTCACCTTCAAAGTGACGGAATTGGAGCAAGGAAGATAATTTGAGGAAGAATAAATTAATTCATAAATAAAATACATATCTTAGTAATAATAATAAGTAAAATTTTTAAAATCAACAATCTAAAGAGTTCCACATAAAAGGAAGATTTTTTTGGCGTGCTGCGACTCCATGTAAAGTTAATCATTTCATACGTATTATCTCTTTATCATATAATCAAATTTATCATTGTAGTTTAGTATTTCTTTAGAGATTTATTTTTTATTTCCGAAATAATTTAAATATAAAATTTCCTTGATTTACTTGCAAAGAACAGAAGGTCTTTTTTTATATAGTTAAACTTAAATTCTGTTTTATTCCACGTCGTTATCATTAAGTTTTTTTGGTTCCCATTTTGTATCTAACCTTTTTGGTGGAATATAAAAAGGTTCGACAAATATTGGACAGCCTTCTATATTCTGCGCATGTTCTTTTCATGGCGCAAGCCTGTCATGTCTACGAAGTAAATTCGGAAGTTCTGACATGTTGACATAACCTAATGTTTTGATGTTTTGTTTTGGTGCAGTCAATCCATGCTGCTACACCTATTGAATTGTATTTATTAAATTAAATAATAATTTTAGATTCCGTCACTTCACTTGAGGATATTCTCTTCAGAATATTCCCTCAAGGTCTCAAGTAACTAAATTTCTTGAATAGTTAGCAAACCCGTGGATTTTGCTGTCACCCAGAGACCAGTGACTGGTTGTGGCTTTTGTGACCAGGATTCGTCTTTACAGCCATAAACTGATGTAGCCGTGCCAAGAGGAGTTTTTCCTATGGACTTATAGTGCTGTAAAGATAAGTTGTTTAACTATTTGACTTTTTGTATTACGTATTACTTTCTATTTACTGTTAACTTTTCATATGCATATGATCAAGTAACTACATTTTGATAAAATATAATTTTGATATTATTGGGAGAGGGAAAATATATTACCTGTTTTTATTAGTTTTTTTTAAATAGGATTTTAAGAGTACTGACCAAACTCACTTTTGCTATAATATTTTTTTTAATACAATACATTGGATATGATACAATTTGATATTGGGAGAGGGACATAAATTTAATGTGTTTTTTTTTAAATATATATATATATATATATATATATATATAATGAGTATTGAGAACTCACTTTTGAGATAATATAATTGTAACAGAGTTATCATTGTTGATATCTGTACAATACAGTAATTATTTATCATTTTAGTAGAACTATTTAAATCTAAATTATTAACCTTAGTGTTAAGACTTAGGCTACCCTACGGACTATTCTTGGTTTATACTAATATTTCATATTTTATTTGGCCAGTGGTAGTGACTATTCGTTTGTTGAGGGGCTATTAGGTCCCATTGTATGTGTACACCATCCACTACCACTGTTATTTGGCTTTGCATTATATGTAAATTGTTTATACACATATACCTATATACATTTTTTATAAATATATTTATTGTTGCTATTTTGAGTTTTATTTCAGTTCTACTAACCAGTATATAACATAGCAAAACAAGATTATTATTTAGTATTTTTGCATTTCAGAGTATTATCTCCAGATTCATTTGTTACTTCAAAATCTCAACTATCGTTGAGTTGGCGCCCTTCTTTTCTCTTCTTATTGTTCTCTTTCTATAAATTTATTCCCAGTGACCTTCTTCAGTTGTATCACGTTTGATATTACCAGGTCTCATTTCTTTCTTGTCTCATTAGCTCATTATCTCTTGTTATTGTTGTTTATATCTTTAAAGCCACAATCCAGTGCATTGAAGCTAGCCCGAACACTCTCTTGAGATTTAGTGTCTCTTTGGCCATTTAAATTTGTTCCTCTGAGCTTAGCCCTATTTTTAGTATTTTTTTCATCACCTCTTTTTCAGTTCTTCTGGAATTTGGAAGTCTTACACTTCCTAAAATCCAATACTCCCGGAGTATTGAGCGTTTCACTTACCTGTGGAAAGATGAACCACGACCAGCCAATCAACTTCTGTGGGAACATGTTGTTAGCCATCTAATGGAATCATTTATAAATAAAGGAAGAAATGTCACGACGGATAATTTCTTTACGTCCATAAAGTTGGCAAAATAATTACGAAAGAAGGCTACCAGCATTGTTGGAACAATCAACCGAACAAGAAAGGATACTCCACCGTCAGTAAAAAATGAAAAAATGAAATTGTACAAAACAAAAATTTTCAAACACGAAGACTTGACGCTAACGGCGTACCAGGAAAAAGTCAACAAAAATGTTCTAGTGCTGAGTTCTTTACACTCGAATGATATTAAAATGTGCACAGATAAAAAGAAAAAACCGGAAACCATCATCTTCTATAACCAGACAAAATACGGAGTAGACGTTGTAGATCAGATGGCTAGACTGTATTCAACCAAATCTACTTTAAGAAGATGGCCGTTGCAAGTTTTTTTAAATATTTTAGATATGGCAGGAATAAATGCTTGGGTTCTGTATAAGAAAGTTACGGGCAGTCAAATATCTAGGCAGGATTTCCTACTTGAGTTAGCAGAAGAATTGCGAGAAGATCACATGACTAAGGGCAGGACAATATCTATCTATCTATCTAATTAGCCTTTTTCGGTCCATCTTTGGACATAGGCCTCCCCAATCCTTTTCCATTCTTCTCTGTGTGTCGCTACAGTCATCCATCTAGAGCCCACGTGCTTCTTGATATCATCTGCCCATCTCATTTGGGGCCTTTCTCTGCTTCGTTTATATTCCCACGGTCTCCAACTTATAAGAATTTTGTTCCATCGGTCTTCTTTTTGTCTTATATTGTGTCCGGCAAATCTCCATTTCAATTTTGCAACTTCTTGTCTACCATCCCTCACTTTTGTTTTCTCTCTTATACACTCGTTTCTCTTCTTATCCATTAGTCTTATGTGCAACATTTGTCTTTCCATTGTTCTTTGGGTTTTTATGATTTTGTCCATGTTTGCTTTTGTAAATGTCCACGTTTGGGAGCCATACGTAAGAACAGGTAGTACGCATTGATTATATACTTTGGTCTTAAGATGCTGTGGATATCTTTTGTTTTTAAGAATGTAGCTTAGTTTGCCAAATGCCGCCCATGCCAGTCTAACTCGAGAGAATGAAAGTAAAGAACACAATAATGAATACGATAGCCGAAAAACAATTAAAATGGTATGGACATCTGAGACGGATGAACGAAGAAAGGATACCACGAAAGGTTTGGAACTGGAGACCTACACAGAGAAATAAAAGGGGAAGGCCAAGAAAGAAATGGATATCCAATATTCATATAGAAATGGAAAATAGAGGTCTTCAAGAAGGAGACTGGGCCGATAAGAAATTATGGCGATTGGGATGCGAGAAGCGACAAAATTAAAGTTGCAAACACTCGCTATATATATATATATATATATATATATATATATATATATATATATATATATATATAATATATATATAACGATATATATATATATATATATATAACGTCTAGTAAAATGATATATTTATTATACACTTCTATATGGAGTGAAGACGTGAAGCATAAATAAGTACTTCTTTAACAAAATAAAAGTATTCTAACTATGGACTTAGAGAAGCATATAGTAAAAATACCATGAACTTAACCATACCATTATACCATAAAATAATAAATAAAAAGGTACTCAGAAGAATGAGAACAGCAAATTAATTACTGTTGACCATCAAAAGTCTTTAATATTATTTTAGAGATCAACATCAACGTTTACGAAACATAATCCAGGGATACCTTGTAGAAAGAAGTATAGGAAGAAGAAAGATATCTTGGCTGCGAAATTAAGTGGTTTGGCAATCTACTTGAACCAACTGTTCTGTGCTGCTCTATCTAGATGCAAATAGCAATGATGATAGCCAAACTTAGAAACGGAGACGGCACATAAAGAAGAAAATACAATTCCACTGACCTTTCAGTTTGGTAATTATTCACTTGAAGTAAATAGTTGTACAAAATTTGTGGCAAGTAACATAAACAAAAGTCAATATGTAAATTTGACTGATATATTAAATATACTTTACCATGCACATTTCCAATCTAAGTATATTAAAATTTAGCAGAATATTCTATTAACTGTCAGAAGGTATGTACTTTGTATACTAAGGAGCTGCTCTAAGTGCCACGCTGAAGCCGGAGAGAGTAGAAACTTATAGATAAAACTTCTAAAGTCACCGAATTTTGACATTTAGCACAAATTACATACAAGAGATATTGTTATTTTTTGCCCATTCTATAGTCTATATCATAATACTCCACCTTAATTAATAATCTTAATCTTAATTATTAATCTCTGAATAATTTGGGGCTGGAACCAAGGAGCATTAGACAATATGAATTAAGTCAGCCACCTCGCTTGGCAATTGGGCAAAATCAATCAATTATGTAAAAGAACAGAATAAAAGGATGCTTTGTACACTTTTAGATTTACCTTTAATAGTTTTCCCGTTGCCGGATTAACTTTAATTACTGAACCGCCTCCGTACAAGGCAATGTAAAGATTGTCCTCCGTATCGATTGTCATTCCATCGGGATAACCTGAAAAGAACATGGAATTTCATTCATTTGAACTAAATATTTTGCCCATAAAACAAAATTTACTTTTTAAATAAAATTAAATTTAAACTTAATATATAGCATAAACGTAATTTTTTGATTAATTTTGTACGGCAGTTATTTACACACACATAGGCATAATATATATATTATTATGATAACTTAATTTTGAAATTTCATACACAAAATAAAATTAATTATGATCTAATTAGCAAATTAAACAAAAAAAAAAATTATTGAATTTTAATGAAGACATATTGTTCTGAAGGTATTTTCTTATGGCATTGTAAATTAATTACTATTAAACTGGGAATAAGCCACAATTAAAGATAAAAATACGTTTATTGACGTTTCAATTTCCACTTCGGAAATCGTTCTCAAAATACAAACAGTAAATTGATTTACTGTTTGTATTTTGAGAACGATTTCCGAAGTGGAAATTGAAACGTCAATAAACGTATTTTTATCTTTAATTGTGGCTTATTCCCAGTTTAATAGTAATTAATTTAATGAAGACGCCAGATTAATAAATATAATATGTTTTTTTCTCGTCTCAGGGTTCTTAATTACGTTCAAAAACATAACCATTTCTTTTACTAGTGCATGAGAAAAAAGGAGTAGAAGAAAATAAATAAAAGAAATCAAATAGTGCAATAAATTCAAAATATAATAACCAAATACCTTTGTGGATTTTCATATACTAAATAAATATCATATAAATAAATGTGTCCCTAAATTATTCTGTTGCATATGCAATTAACCACAAAACAATTCAAATTAAAAATACTTTAATCAATGTCTCATTTCCACAATTTGCCTCTATATTTTTTTACAAGGATTTACTTTAATTAGTTCCCTATCCAACAAACTCCTTCTCCGGTTCTGCTTATAAAAACAAAACCTTCGACAAACTCCTAACAATGTTTATTGCTCCTATTGGAGGGCCAAAATTCTTCTTAGCTATGCTTCGCTCCAAGAATAGTAAATTATTTTAGTTACAAATACTGCAACTACAGATTTCAACACTTCTTTTGCAAAAAAATTTTATTAAAAATCCTTTATATAAGGTATATACTTTAAAAAACCCAATTGAGCTATATCACAAACCGTTTTCGGAATCCATATTCCATCATCAGTGTCTAGGTATACATGTATTGAGCCACTAAATATGTGGGTTTAAACTCATTTAAAAGTTGTTAAAAATTGTTTGTTTAAATTTAGTTTACATTATGTTTTATTAAATACTATGATGTTAAAGTTACCAGTGGATTTGGTAACATGGCGACGTATGACACCCCGTGAAGTCTTCACATGAAAGCAACTGAGTTGTTTTCATCAAGTCCTCGTAGACACACCGTCTCAGGATGAGCAAATAATTAAATCTATTTATTAAATCTATTCATTTATGAATGAATATTTAGCCTCTATTCCATGTGATGATCTATTAGATAAATCATGTATTAATAAGGTAGGTTTTAACTGTTACATTAAAAATTTCTGCTGACAATGAAAAAAACAGAAAATATATATGCACGGTACAACAACTTTTATAACATGTAATAATATCACAGCAAATATTAAAAGTGGCAACGGAACTTCAAAAAAAGTTCAAATTAGTAATTGCTTATATATATATATATATATATATATATATATATATATATATATATATATATATATATATATATATATATATATAATGTTCGGAAAGATTTCCGCGGTTAGTACAATAAAACCTAGAGCTAAGATTAATATTATTACTAAAATTAATATTAAACTCACCAGTCTTCCGGGTTGAACCGCGTCGTAATCCATTTTGCCAAGCTTTCGGCATCCTCTCTAATGCCTTCCTCAGGGCTTCCGAGGTCTCAGTCTTCCGAGCCCCCAGACACTACTACACTGTTCACTATTCACGGCACGATCACTACTGTACTCAGTACTGTACTCATGTCTCTGTAGAGATATACTGAGATATTTTCAGTGGGAGCTCCAATGGAAGCTACTATGGGACGAACCTATAGTGTTGGTTTGTGTATTTTTGGAAAGGCATAAAACTTTGCAATGTTCCCATTGTATGTTGTTAGTTTTTTCTTTGTGTTACGGTCAATCTCATTGGAAGAGCCTAAGGATGCGATTAATGTATTGCATTTTGTTTGTAGAGATGAAGTGGGATGTTGGATGTAAGTGAAATGTAAGATCTATCATTCTCAATGAGAGAAGAACACAGTTGTAAGTAGTGAGTTCTTTCTAAGATGACTGTAACATTATACCTAACATTCTACCTTTGTCTGCTTTTGTCACTAAAAGCTCAGGATTCTATTTAAGAAATTTTTTAGTTTTAGTATATAAGTTATGAAAAAAAGTATTAGATAATTTAGAAGTATTCAAAATGTGATTAGTGATAATGTTGGTGGTTCTTGACCGGATTAAGTTTTGCTCTAATTCAGATGGCAATGATAAAATTATGTATTCTGTCTGCTAAACGTGTTTTTACTTGAAAATCTTTTCCTAACTTTGGTTCGATGCTAAATTTATTTCCTAATGCCAAGAAACCTAGAACATCATCAGGAATAGTTGTAGATAAAATTTTTATCCATTTTGGATTAGTTTTAAGAACAGATTAACAACAGGACTGATATAGCGAGTGAATTTTTTTGATATTGTCTAATTTAATCTAATAAAATATTTTATTATGTCTAATAGATTGAATATGTGAAAATTGCAGCCAATCATATTCCGAGGTTGATCTAATGATTTCGGTTTTTTGTTCAGTGAGTGAATAGATAATATATGGTAGCTAATTATAATTTATTCTCTTTCAGCCCTGAAGTAGTCAAATTAATTTTCTTTGGCGAAAACATTCGGCGAAGCAATTAATATTTATTAGAGTCTTTCTTGCAGATTTCCCCAATATTTAAGAGTTTACTATATACATATATATATATATATATATATATATATATATATATATATATAATATATATATATATATATATATATATATATATATATATATATATATATATATATATATATAATATATATATATATATAGTGTACTATATACGATATAAATGCTAATTAAACAACTATGCCTGTACTATTAATAGAAAATTAGATGTATCATTTGAAATTTAATTACACATGCATATTAATTTGTGATAATCACCTTAGCAGCAAATCTCAGGAGACAATTTACCGTATCAAATGGTATTACTCGAGGTCTCTATTGTTAATAATTTTACTCGTAAGTAAATTGACGACTACACAACTTAAGTATGCATGGGATTCTAACTTAAGATATCGGGTTTTAGAACCGTATAATACGAAAATTTGTAACGTCGGTCGCCAGTTTAAAGTAATTAACGAAGAGAATCATTGTAATTTTTATTCTAGATAAGCTTTATAATTTACTTCTAATTCGATAGACATGTTTTATTTATTTATTTATTGTACTTATGTACTTTTATTTATTTATTTTTGTTATCGTATGGCACTTGACACATTTACATTTAAATTTACACATAATTTGTATAAAACATAATACATATATGTTTACAAACGGACATCTAACTTATTTATATATTCTATCGACTCTGGAGTCGCCATTAGGAAATCTTCTGACCTGCCTTGATCGGATCTTGTGGGACACTGTTCTGTGATGTGACAGATGGTTTGTGGTTGTCCGCAGTCACAGAGTGGGGATGGTCGTTTACCCCATTTGTGCATCATATAACCGCATTTGCCATGTTTGTTTCTGATTCGGTTCAACATAGTCCATGTGTTGCGTGGTAAGTCAAAACCTGGTGGTTTTTGTGTGATGCAGGGTAAGCTGCTATTTTGTTGTTCCAACCATTCTAGAGTCCAAGTGGTCGTTAAGCTGAACTCATTTTCCACTGCAATCTGTGCTGTTTTTATTGGCGGTCGCCTGGAGCGCAAACGGTTACCGTTGGCAGCATCTATCTCTTGATGAATTGGCAGGGTCTCGTTGTTAAGTATCTTTTGGTACTCACTAGTGAGGAAGTGTATACGCCGTAGTCTGGGTGGTAGAATGTGGCTCAGGACTGGGAGCCATTTCGTAGGGGTGGATTTGATAACACCTGCAATCATTCTCATTGTGTTATTCAATTGGGCATCTACTTTGTGTATGTGGGCTGTTAAGCCAGGCTGAAGAGCAGTACTCCGCGGTTGAGAAAACAAGGCCCAGGGCAGATGATCGCAAGGTGGAAGCCGATGCTCCCCATGTTATGCCTCACAGCTTCTGGATGATGTTGTTTCTGGATTTAAGTTTTTGCGCCGTTTTTGACAGATGTTCCTTGAAAGAGTTTTATCAAGAGTCACCCCAAGGTATTTTGGTGTTTTATTGTAGGCCAGTGTGGTGTTTTCGAATTGGACGTTCAGTATTCTGCGTGCAAGCTTATTAGTTAGGTGAAAACTGGAAACCTCTGTTTTGGTAGCGTTTGGTTGGAGCCTCCATTAACGGAAATACTTTTCCACTGTGTGTTAGTCTGCCGTAAGGATTTCTTCTGCTTGTTTAATTCACTTACACCTTGTTGCAAGGACCCAGTCATTGGCGTAACCAGACTTCCTTGATCTGGTTTCTGGCATATCAGCGATGTACAGCCTAAAGAGAAGAGGAGCTAGGACAGATCCCTGAGGCAGTCCATTATTCAGTTTTCTTGGGGTGCTGATGTCGGTTCCCATGACTACTTGAATCGTTTGGTCGGCTAGCATGCTGTTGATTATTCGAGCGGTGGATTTACAGGAGATTGTACGGAGGAGCTTGTATATTATGCCTTCTCTCCAGACTGTATCGTAGGCCGCTGTTAGGTCTATGAATGCGGCTGCAGTTTTAAGTTTTCTCTGGAACCCTGCCTCAATAAATGTTCAAACAAATGTTCTTCCACCATGACAACACATCGGCTTATGCCTACACTTTTACCATGGCAAAATTGGTCGAATTGAGCTACGAACTATTGCCCGATTTATCGTAATCACCAGATTTCACCCAATGTGACTTCTTTTTGTTTTCAAACTTAAAAAGAGCACTTACTGGGCAGAAATTTCGTCACCAAGAAAGCCTACTTTGCAAACCTCGAGAAAATTTATGTTTTGTCCTGTATATTGTATATTACTGTATAAGTGCAACTCGTCTATATTAACTAGAACATTTTTGTTAATACACTTCTTTAAGAAAGAGCAATATTCATTACTTCGCTTTCCAGTAGTTCATTGGTGGTATAAATAAAATGTTGAAGTGTCATAATTACTATTGTGGATGCCAAATGAAGAACGGATAGTTGTCTAAGGTAATATATTTTCTGTACTGGAATCGTACGAAGCTATATATTTGCCACACAATGTCGAAGGGACGAACAAAACTTTTTGCTACGCCTCTGCAACTGCAACTCGTTTGACTGCAGATTCAACTGCAGATTTTTTATTCTAGTATTAAGCAGTTATTATCAAGGGACAGAACACAATGGCGTAGAAAGCTTAAGAAGGTCAAGGCCCTCTAAGGTCTGTAGCACCAAGATGATGATGATGATTCACGAGTGTCAATTTGGGGCCTTCATAATCTATAATTAAAATGTCCTTTGAAAAGTTTATAGTAAAAACTCTACTTCTCGATCAACTTATTATATTTCTCTTGGAACAATTTGAACATTTTTTTTATGTCCAGCTTAGTATCAAGTATTTTATTTCTCTAGACAAATAGTGATTTGTTTTTAATGGGAATGACTAAATGTGTTCTTTTACAAGATCCGTATAATTTTGTGCAAGGGTCTTCCGATTCATCTGGTGGCCTCTTAGATCTCTAGGACACTCACCTTTTATACAAAGATATCGCAGTTTTTGCCAATACCGTGCAGACTCAAAAAAGCCTTTTTGCAGACGTTGATCCTTTTCTTACGAAACAAGGTATAGCATTTAAAAGTACTTTTATGCTTAAAGTAATGTTTGGGCCTGAAACAAACATCCACGTTTATCTTCGGAAGTGTTTTGTTTTCATCTTGACCTCTTCTGTACTAGCTCTGCTTCTATTAAGGTCCGGGAAAAAGGTTTTGCTCATTTTTCTATGAAAATGTTCCAAAACTCTGTTTCTCTTTTGCTCTGCAAAAAATTTCTACAAGGTCCTCTTTACATAACTTTTCAAAACATCTCAATCTGCACCTAGAACATTCGAAATACTTTACTGTGAAACTAAGCTAGGTTTTAAAATTGACTTCTAATTTATTATCTTTCATTCGTGTATGAAATAGTACATTATACGATAAAACGTAATTTACGAGCATGGTAATTCTGTTGTGCACATTTCTACAATATTTCCTCTATAATTTATGTATTATTCATCTCGACATCTAGCTTCCTTAATCCGATTACCTTATAATAGTATTCAAGGTAACGAACACGTCTCTTTCGCTTCTTTCACTATGACATTTCACAATGACATTTTTTAAAACACAAGTTGAATCACTTTTATAAAAACTGAAGAACACTATTTTTTTATAATTATTTAACAAATGATTATAACGTAAAACAACAAGAAGTTAATTATTCTTCAAACAGTAAACATCTGTCAACAATCGGCTGGCCGCTCAATGTTGCCAATAGTGTTTTTATTTATAAAAAGCCACTTGTCAATAACATGGGGACTTTCAGAAAAAAAAAAACAATAATTTTAAACAAATATATTAAGTAAAGAAATAACAAGCTTTTCATAAGCAAACGATGTGCGAACATATAGGTTTTCATTTTCTGAGTTAAACGAAAATTAAAAGAAAAGTGACATGAGGTCTTTATGAATAAGCGGTTCAAATGTAACTTAAGTCGAACCTTATTGTTTTTGGTTAAATTACAAAAACTGGTTTACCACGTTATTATAATTAAAACTAATACAATCTGGTCACTTACCGCGTGTTTTATATGATTTTCACTTAACTATTTATAATTAAACTGTAAATAATGGACTACATAAGTCCTGACGTCACAATGGGCGGGGCTTAGAAGATTTTTCCAAACAAAACAAATATCGTGTTTGTGTTTATGCATGTGTTTCTCGCATAAGACTTTGAAAACTTTGATTTTTTTTATATTTAAAAATTTAAATAAGGAATTTCGCTCCTAAATATCTATTCTGTGCGATTGGTTTTATAGGCTGTTCTTGAATTTGTGAGGTAAGTGTATCAAAGTATTAAGATATTTACTGTCGAAGTTCATATTTTGAGGTTATTTTTTGTGGGATTAAAACTTTAATTATTTTTTCTTTATTTCAAGGTATTTTGTTGTTGTTTTTACCGATTATTTCAAAATTAATCAATAATTCTTTTTACATATAAAAAATCAAAGTTTCCAAAGTCTTATGCAAGAAACACATGCATAAACACAAACACGATATTTGTTTTGTTTGGAAAAATCTTCTAAGCCCCGCCCATTGTGACGTCAGACTTAGGTAGTCCATTAGGTACTGCACAAAATTAGCAGATTTGCTGAGAAATTTAAAATGAATAAGTATTTACATTTTGACAGTGATTTGACACTTCTAATTAATTATGTTCTTTCTATATTTTAATTCTAGCTCCAAAGCAATTTACACAATAATCTCAAAATAAAATTCACTCAGAATAGTATTGAGGTACACATTAAAAAAGTGTCAATAAATTTCAGCTCCGAATAAAACGTGTTTTTTGTTGGTTTATACAAAAAATTTAAATACAAGTTTGTACTAAGAGTGAAAATGAAGTGTTTTGTAATTACTGAAGAGAAAAATTGTAAGTATAATTTTTATTTGATCTAAATAAAATCATTTAACGGATTTTATTGAAAACTAAACAACAGAAGATCTATTTTTATTTCAAATAAAACCGCCGATAAGCCAGCTTAATTACCATAAGTCAATAGTGGCTTTAGTGGCCCTACCATTAAGGGAGGAAAATAAAAATTAAAAATGGATAACAGTTTAAAAACTGACACAGTAATCACCAAACTTGTATTAACATCTTCAGCACTAACCTTTTCTTCAACAATAACCTATTCTAATGCCGTAAGCAACTTTAACTTTCCATCCAAAGAACAACACTTGTTTTATCTTCAGTACCGGATTTAAAAATACACGAATACATAACTGCAATAGAAACTTTAGTTCAACCTAAAAATATCATCTTCGCATCCAGAATCTCAAATAACAGAGTATGCATTTATCTCAGTAACACTACAATCTTAGAAAAATTACTACCTAACCACAAATGCGTTTCAATATTACTATTATATTATATAATATTATTATTTCAATTACTCCTGCGAGCCGACGAGTGATATCAAATGTCAAATCGAAGACGAGCTCAAAAAATTGGAGCTTTTTACAGTGTCTAAAATAACATTTTTAAAAGTTGACGTGCCTGAATCTTAATACAATCATAATTAATCTTTAGGCTTTTAGCTGTTTCGAGTAGTAGTGTCTGGAGTCTACACTGCCTTAATAACTACCAATCAGTTGAATAATAAGAAATGTGATATGCATTTCCAGGTTAGATTCTCTTCATTTTTCGAAAATTTGTGTTATAATGAAATCATGTGTTGGTAGACGTGTATTTTCAAAAACCGTGTTGTTAATCTAGTATAATATCTTTCAATAGATTAATGCCTCCATAATTCAATGTATATATTAAAAAGGAATGGACATTGACACTATGGCTTAAAAAGTCAATGATTATGATGATTATTTGATTAATAAATCCAATAATTAAGTTATTTTTAATTTAAGCTGTATGTTTGTTAGAACCAAATTTCACCAAGTAGAAACCTTAACTGTTTTTGTTAAAAAATTAAGTGTTAATTGGTTAACTTACCTGTAACATTATTAGTTGAGCTTAGATCAAAAACAGTCTTATTCGTAGAAGAAATTGTGCCGTTTTTGTCATCATAGTCAAACGACACAACTTTTAGTGTAGGTGTATCAATGTAGTATAATTTGTTGTTTGCTTTGTTCCATGCTAAACCGTTACTCGTTGTCACGGACTGCACTGCTATTTTAGGGTTGTTCAAATTTTTCTTGGTAATCGTGTAGAAGAGGCCTTGTCCCTCAGATGCCATTGTTCCTACAACGCAATAGAATTTTATTTACTTTAAAAATTTGCAAGTAAAAGATATAATTGTTATTACAATTGCCAAAACTGAAGGTTGGTCATCAAAAACTCCATTTTACATTAATATGACGAAGACGAAAGTTATGGCATTCAAAAGTAAATGGTCCATAAGAACAAGTAATTGACTATCATCCATTAGAACAAGTGAGTCGTTTTAATAATTTGACAAGAAGTAACACTAAGATGAAAATTTAATATTGCACATGTTTCGAGAAAGATAGAGATTCCAGTTTGTATGTGGGACAATTCACAAAACATTAAAGGATAAGACAAGAAAGAATATATTGTTTACAAACTAAATATCGAGACATTAGTTAATTTATTTTATTTAACTAAAACTTCCGTCTTAATATATTTAATAAATCTTTTATATCAAAGGCTCAACAATCCATTCCTTCACGTATCTTGTAGACATAAATCGAATAAATACTAGACCTTTAATTTTAAAAACGTTAAGATATATACCAAACATTTTGCTATGACGAACTGTCACATTTATTTTATTTTGTAGCGTTTTTGCGTTCTTTGCCCTTAGGACAGTTCCATTAGCGTACCTGATATTGTCTATGCTGGTTCTGTTAATCCTGATTACACCTTGGACCTAGTCTAATGCTTCCCTCAATATAGATTCAGAATAAAGATCAAATAATAGGGGTGATACAAAATGTATGATGTTCTAGCCATGGAAAATACAGTTACTTTGTAATAATAGGTTCCATCGTTCCGGTGACAGACAGGTAATAGGTTCCGGTAACCTATTACTTTTGTCACCTATTACCCAAGCTGCAAGTAGCTCCATTCCGATTGGCTTGCTAAAGTTTCTTGTAGTAATCATAATATCTTTTTCAATAGAGGAATACTTGAATACTTTCAACCGTAAGTGATAAACATTCTATCTATTTATACATACATTTGATGGTTGTTAAAAATAAACATTAAACATATACATCTGACAGAGGCTTAAAAATAGACGATTCAACTACTATACTATAAATTAGAAATCATATAAACATAGTCTCCGTTTTAATAATCGTACGTGCTTATGGTGGTATTCCCAGCTATTTAAGTGGCAAAACATAATGGGACTGGTCAAGAAACTACTGAACATTGGACTACCACTTCCATTCGTCAGACTAATCCAATCTTAACTCTAAACGTCGTGTCAGGGTTAAGGAGCGAGGTTTTTTCTCAGATTCTTTTACTCCTACAGCTAGAGTACCTCAAGGCTCTGTGCTGGCTCCCATACTATACACAATATACAATAGCGACTTTCCTAATCCCATATATACCAATACCACCACTTTACTCTACGCGGATGACACCGCTCTAGTAACTACAGCGAGAGACGTTGATTCTGTTCTCAGGTACGCTCAAACTCACCTTAGACTAGTTGAAAACTGGTGCAGGAGATGGAGAGTGTCCCTGAATCTGAACAAAACTAAAATGATTATCTTTAGACACCCAAAACACAGCGTACGTGCGGCCTCCTTTAACGAAAGAAACTATCTCACGCTCTGGGGAGACCGACTTCAGCTCCGTGATCAGATTGTCTACCTCGGTGTGGTGTTCACCCGAACGCTAAGCTGGAGGGCTGATCTGAACATAGCCTGTAATAAGGCCAGGAGCAGACTGGGTCTCCTCAATAGTCTGAGATGTAATTTCGGGGCCGCACACCCTAGTACATTAATTTTCATTTATAAAGCTTTTATTAGACCTATTTTTGAATACAGATCCAATATTTACGCTACAATGCCAAAAGCTGTAAAAGAAAATTTACTCAGACTAGAGAGGAAGATTCTGCGTAGAGTGAATGGCAAACGTTACGACTACCCTTCCGCCCTCATTCATCAATTATCTAACATCCAGCCCCCAAATGAGAGACTACACTCTCTGAGCAGAAGTTATACTACACGCACAATCCTGGGCCAAAACCTCAGAGTTCAACGCACTCTAAAAACTGTCTGCTCAATCCGCGGCAATGTATTCACCAAACATCCTAAACCTAAACTCCCACACCCGCTATTTTACTGGAACTTGCCAGTAACGAACTCCCTGATGAATACATTGACATACAGGAGGCAACTCCCCTCTATTTCCGTCGCATTCCTAGTTAAATTGCTCACTTCGAGCTTGCCTAGACAGGGGGGATCGATTTTCTGCGGTTTCCCGATCCCACTTGCAAAATGATACCTGTCTATTGTGAGGATACAGCCGCAGCTGCCCTCTCGCGCCGCGTTCATTAACATATTTACTAATTACATAATATATTAATGCGTGTATTTATACATATATTAATATCTCATTTTTCTACATTTACTAATTTAATAATCACTAATACACTAATTATTTTAGACACCAATTCTGAAAAGAACCGACCAAAGCCTTTCGCCACTGATTGTCCTGGTTCAGCTTCACCAGTGGATCAACGAAAAAACAAACCAGAAGCCAACCACCACAAAAACAAAAACCACATCCTGAAGAGGCAACAGCCTAAAACAGGATGCCAAAACCACCAAAAAAAGAAACTACACCAAGAAAAGAAAAAAAAACAACGCGATAATGAAGTAGCTCATCATCAATTCGGTGACAATGATCATCCTATCCTGTTACCGATTGAGAGAACGATTCCCATCGTTCGATGTTGTCACATTAACATATCGAATACCGATTCGAATACCAACGTTATAGTCACACTGTGAAAAAAGTAATAGTGTGACAAAAGTAATAGGCAGTTTGCTGTAACCTATTATTGAGAAAACGAATACTTGTTGCTAATAGTGTTATTTATCCGAATACGTTATATAACGCCCATCTAACGCCCTTCCCTCAATTCTGCCATTTCTATCCGTTGGTTTCTTATGAATCTGCATATTTGTCTTTGCGTACCGTAGAAGTCGCTTTCCATCCTTTTTGGAAACTGTTCCCAGTGTTAATTTTTTATTCATTTTACCAACTATATTGTTTCATTTCGTATTCCTTTATATGTGTCTCGGGTGGAGTATTTGATGTGTTGTACTTCGTTTAGGCCTCTTGTTATTCTTTATTACATTTCTCTTTTATTTATTTTTTGAATCATGGTGCATTTGTTGTTGTTTCTGTTGTTCCGTATGTACTCGTTTGTACCTTCACCAGCGCTCGTTTTGTACCAGCGCTCGTTTGTACCTTCGATGATGTCTATTTTTATAAGCTGTATCTTCTGTGATACTGTGCTAGCTGTCAGGATGGTTTTCAGTTGTTCGTAGAATGCCTCTCGTTCCTCCTTAGGTTTTCAGTCCTCGGGGCGATAGATAGATATGACATTAATTTTTGGTAGTCCAATAAATTCTAGTTAAAAATGTAATTTTTATTAAAATAAAGTGTGGCTCAATTCCGTATAAACATAATACGAAACTTAAACCCAAGTAATCATAAAAATAATTGTAAATAATAATTCATCATGTACGAAAACCGATGAAATATGAACAAAATAATCAACCCAATGTTTTTAAACATCAATAATTCTACTAATATAGTTATTTTTAAACTTTTAAAATATTTCAGTAAAAAATATATTCCAATAAAAACATAATTATGGTTAACAAAAATTATAGAACTTACCCCACCACAATCTTCCTTGTTTGTCAGCTTTTCCATCATTCAACCTGCTTTCTGGGAATTGTTGACTTAGAGTAGTAAGGACTTGCTGGCCTCCAAGATTATTTTTTCCGTCCCATTCGACTGCTACCACAGACCTATTGACACCTACTATTAGGAGATTAGGATCTTTTCGGGAAGGAACAACTGGCGATGCTGTGCCTAAAAAATAGTTATGATAATGTAGATGACAATAAAATGACTACTTTAAAATTTATTTTTTCTGCTAGTGCCGTCTACACTAATGAAGTTTGGCTATTTGTCCAGTCGCGAATGTTTTTTAACCAGGATATTTGTCTTCTACCCAGGACCCATTTTTAATGTTGGTCAAAAGTTCTCTGTCACTTCTCATTCTGTGCAATACCATTTCGTTCGTAAACTTTTGTTAAAAATTTTAATAAAATAAAAATTAAAGAGGTTGTTTCTGAAACTGTTTTCTTCTTACATGTTTAAGGTAAAGATTGTAGTATATAGCATTAAACCACATTTTATATAATTTTACACTATTTTAGTAATAAAAATTACATTTTATTTTAAAATGTTTGCTTCGGCAGTTACACGGCTTGTACCAATGGGGTGTAATGATAGTTTCCTCCTTGTGATTTACCCAGGATAACTCCAACTGAGCTATCAGTCAAACTAGCTGGTAAGATATCCTGGCAGTCAGCACGATACGATAACAAAAAGTAAGAAAATAAATCTCCATATAGGAGTATGCAAAACTACAAAGGTGTTTATTACCGCCATTTGACAAGCCGTATCGGATTAACCCTCCAAATATTCCAAATACACATAAAGGGAATTATCAGATCAAAATCTGAATTTTGTTCAAAACTACTAATCGAAAATAACGTTGACGTCATAGTCATTTAAGAAACTTACGCATTGTCAGAACCTAAGCTTTTTAGGAGGGGTAAAATTCCGGAATATAGCATGAGCGGGGCTATCTGCAGCAATGATTCTTCTTCTTCATGTACCATGTCCTTTCAGAACGTTGGTTACCATCATAGCTATTTTAATTTTATTCACTGCCACCCTAAATAGCATGCTTGTATCTACACCATACCAATCTCGCAAGTTCTTCAACCATGAGGTTCTTCTTCGTCCTGGACTGCGTTTGCCTGCTATTTTTCCTTGCATGATATTTTGTAGCAATCTATATTTGGGACCTCTCATTACATGTCCGAAATATTCCAGCTTTCTCTGCTTGATGCTTTTTATGATCTCAGTAGTCTTGCTGAGACGTTCTAGTAATGTGGAGTTACGAATCTTCTCCACCCAGGAAACTTTTAAAATTATTCTATAGCACCACATTTCGAAAGCCTCAAGGCGATTTAGATCGATTTTATTTACAGTCCAGGACTCGACAGCATAAAGTAAGACCGAGAACACGTAGCAGCGAAGTAGGCGGATCCTTAATGCCAATTTTAGGTCTCTGTTACATAACACCTTGGATATCCTTCTAAAAGCAGCTCTAGCTTGCTCTATTCTGGATCTAATTTCGCCGTGATTTTCTGCATTACAATTTAATTGCTGTCCAAGGTAGACGATTTTATCAACTTGCTCAAGTTTGGTATTATTTACATATATAGACGGTTTTATATTCTGTTGTTTACTTATTACGAGTATTTTGGTTTTCCTTATGTTAAGATCCAGACCTGCCTCCCTACAACTCTCAACGACACTATCAAGTAGTGTTTGCAGATCTTCTTGACTAGAAGCTAGGAGTACTGTATCGTCCGCATATCGCAAATTATTGATGACTTCGCCGTTCACAAGTATTCCTTCTTGTTTTTCAGAAAGTGCTTTTCTGAAAATTCTTTCGGAGTAAACGTTAAAAAGCAGGGGTGACAAGAGGCATCCCTGCCGTACTTTTCTTTTAATATTGAGAGCTTGTGATTCCACACCATCTACTAAAACTGATGTTGTTTGATTCCAATATAAATTTGCAATTATTCGAACATCTCTGCCGTCCAAGCCAATGTCTTTTAGAGCTTCGATCAATATAGAGTGCTTAACACGATCAAATGCCTTTTGAAAGTCAATAAAACAACAGTATATGTCTACAGATATATCACGACATCTTTGAGCAAGTACGTTCATTCCAAACAGTGCCTCTCTCGTTCCAAATCCGTTACGGAAACCAAACTGAGTGTCATCCAGGTATTCCTCACATTTATTGTAGATACGACCATGTATTACCTTCACAAATATTTTCAATAAGTGGTTTAACAAACTGATGGTTCTATAATCAGCACAGGTTTTTGCTGTTGTCTTCTTAGGTGGAGCTATAAACAGTGAGTTAGACCAACCATTAGATAGTTGTCCGCTGGTATAAATGGTATTGAAAAACGAAGCTATAGCCTCTAAAACATTGCTATCCTTTATAAGCTTATATATTTCAGTTGGAATTTCATCAGGACCAGTCGCTCTGCCATCTTTTCATGATTGTATGGCCTTTATAACCTCACAGCATGTTATTAGGGGTCCGTCGCAGTTAGTATTATCGGGAGGTGAACTACTCCTATCGTCTTCGAATAGGTTCGTGACGTAATTTTCCCATTCTTTAAGTTTGTCCTCTACTTCGAATATTACTTTACTATTTTCATCCTGTAGTAATGCATTTTGTTTCTTATTGAAGATACCAGCCGCTTCTTTTACTTTTTTATACATGTTAAACGTGTCGTATCTTTTTTCGAGTTCTTCAATGTCATGACACTGTTTGGCTAGATGTTGACTCTTTGCTTCTCGTATTTTACGTCGAATTTCTTTTTGTATGCTATTGTAAAGTGTTTCGCTGGTTTTTGCTAGTCGCCGTTGTTCCATCAAATCCAGTATATCATCTGTCATCCAAGCCTGCTTTTTTGGCTTTGACCTGCCTTGTAAATTTCTCACACAGATTTCTTTTACTGTCGTTACGATTTTATTTAAGCCCTCATCGACGTTTTCACCAATATTTTCCCAAATTAAATTTTCGTTCAGTTGTATTTGAACTGATTCCTTAACTTTCTCGTCTTGTAGTTGGGCTGTATCAATCTTTTTGCGAGACTTCTTTTTGATCACCTTTTTTAATTTTAATTGGGTTACAGCTACTATGGGATTGTGATCGGATTCAATGTCAGCACCTGGATAAGTTTTAACTGATTTGATGCAGTTTCTAAATCGATTTTTTATTAGAATGAAGTCGATTTGATTCCTAATAATTTTGTCCTCTGATTCTGCATTTGACTTCCAGGTATAGAGTCTTCTCGGTGGTAGTTTAAAATGGGTATTCGATATAATGAAATCGTGTTCCTAACAGAACTGGACAAGTCGATCTCCACGTTCGTTTCTGTTTCCCAAGCCATATTCTCCCACAATGTTCAAACAGCGTCCTTTGCCGACTTTAGCGTTAAAATCTCCGAGGACTATGGTATTTTCTGCTGCTTTGACAAGATCTAGAGCATCAGTAAAATCTTTGTAGAATGCTTCTAATTTATCTTCATCACTAGATGATGTTGGGGCATAGACCTGAATTACGTTGGTAATGAACAGCTTTGAACTAAATTTTACTAGAATTACTCTGTCAGATATGGGAATATAAGTTAAAACTGATTGAGCTAAGTGTTTTGCTACTATGATTGCAACTCCATTATAGTGATTGGCATCTGTATTTCCGGCATGGTACACTTGATATCCATCTACGTCACATACTCCTGATCCCGGCCATCGCATTTCGCTTATTTATATATATATATATATATATATATATATATATATATATATATATATATATATATATATATTTCGGCATTATATATTTTACCTGACTCAAACATGCTTCTGACGTTCCATGTGGCTATTTTGCAAGGATTTCGCATATTAACGACCGGGGAGGCCCTGCAGTCTTGAGATTGTCCTCTCTTGCCGGATCTTGGATTCCGAGATCCATGATCATTAATGTTTTGACTTAAATTATTTACAGCCATGATAGTTAAAACTAGTAGTGCCACAAGGCCTTTAATGCAGTAGTTCTCCTTTGCTTTCTGCATCCTTATGCCGTTGACTAATTTGTAGTTTTATAGTTCTTCCGCCTTCGGAATCAATTTCTCAATTCCAGGACAAAAGGGTGCCCTGCCACTTACCAACTCGTCCGCCCGAAGCCGTTGGTCAGTAAGTGGGGGATTGCTTATACCGACAATCGCTCGGACGCCAGAGCCTCGTTTGTTGTAAAGCAGGATGCACCGGATGATCAGAATCAAGATCATCACACGGGCAGGTGAGGTTGACATTTTGACAGGAGAGGCTATATATTGCGCATCACAGTCCCTTACATAGCAATGATTACGGCACTTAAACTTATGTGAATAACGATATACAAAATGCCAAGATGACGTACTGAAGTTGTAAAAGTAATGTGCTCATAATCTGTACAGAAATAAATGACATCATAAACTATCAAGAACATCTTCAAACCTCCAGTAATTAAATGGCCAATAAACGTAATTAAAGTTCTGGATAACCCACCTACAGTTTACATTGGGGACTTTAAAAGTCACCATTACAACAAACAAATAGAGATATGAAAATAAAAAAGCTTCTAGAGTGGGCAGAAGAGAACAATAATAACCACCTCATTTATAGTGTAAAAGGTAATACCATCTTATTTTTCGGATAGACTGCATAAAGGCTATAACCGCGATCTTTGTTGTGGTTCGAGTAACTTACAAATCCAACCACCCCCAAGCTCTCGAACCATACTCACTAAGATGAAAAGGTTGACAATAAAATAGTTGACTGAGAAAGTGATAACGTGCTTACAATAGGTACCTAGTGTAGTATGTGTGTGTAGAGTAATTGTCTTGATACTGTCGTCTGAAAAGTCGACGTCATTGTCTTTGCTAAGAGACGTTAATTGTATCCGAACGTCTGCGGTCCCTCCGGTGAGTACCGATCACACATGGATAGAAATTATTTTCATTTATTAATTTTTAATAAACGAAAATTTCTCTACCCAGACGGGATTCGAACTCACGACCTTTAGGTTTAAAGGCAGGCGCTTTTACCACTGAGCCACAGAGGGGGTTCGAAGTGGAAATTGAAACGTCAATAAACGTATTTTTATCTTTAATTGTGGCTTTTTCCCAGTTTAATAGTAATTAATTTACAATGCCACAAGAAAATAGCTTCAGAACAATATTACTGTTGCTTAGCAGTAAAAAATCTATCTTGAGAAGATTCAGAAAGAAATATTCTACACTTGTATAAGGCATGAGAAAACAACATAAGATGCGCCTAGACTGATCACCTGAATTTGTGCTGGTTTCCACCAGAAAGCTAGATATGGTTTTTTTATTGTTATCCTGTTTTATTGGGTTCTTTGAGTTATATACGTGAGATGACGAGACAGTCTACTGAACAGATTTCAATGCGATGCATTGCCCATCGAAAAAATATATTAATTGCGTTTAAGTTGGCAATTCCTGACTAATGTTGTGTTCCAGTTCAAAATTTATTCTTGTTTTTGCATTCGATTTATTAAGAAGCATGTTAAATAGTGAAAAATCCTAATTATCTACAGGCAAATTCACTACCCTGAGAGCAGCAACATTTCGAAAAGACAGTTAATAGTTTTCTTAGTTATAAAGAATTTGCTTCTAAAATTGGAGAAGTAGTAAAATTTTATTGCAATAATTGTTAGCTAAGATATGTTTATTTTGGTATCGTTTTTCTAATTTTTCATAGGCTACAAGATAATTGCACTCAGTAAAAAGGAATACATCTGATTAAAGATAGGGGTTGTTTAGCTAGTAGATCTGCAGTAGATATATTGGCCGGTCGAGAAAATGAGCCATTTATTAAAAAATCATGTTTTAGTGATAAAACTCTATAAATGGGCATATCAGTATTTAATCTCATCTCATTATAGGAAGAAAATTCATCATAATTGATTAACTAACTGACAGGGTTATGATTATTTTTAAATTAATTGTAAGTGCCATGCTAGCAAGAAAAAGAGGTTTCGTCATTCGCAACATTAAGACCATATTCATAAGTTTCCTGTAATCTTTTAAAGGCTGTAGTTCGCTTTAAGTTAGCTTTTGGTAATGCATCAGACATTTTATTATGTTTATTACATTATTTTCATTAAACATTCTGTTTCGTTTTTGTTAACTAGTTTCTTATTTAACACCAGAACGCAACCACTATAACCAAGAAATAAAAGAGGTTTTGAGTAGAAGAACGACCGTTGCGTGGCGCTTTAATTTATTTCTTCAACAAGCTACACCAGAAATTAAGTTCTACAAAATTATTGTTTCGGTATCTAGTTTTTTCAAAAATGCAAACTCTAAGACAACACTAGAAATTTTTAAGCGTGTTAGAGAGTCAAACTTAACTAAGGACTAATTGCGTTTCTGCAGCAAGGTAAGGTTTCTACAGTAAAGCCATATGTATTAAAAATCTAGGAACAATTTGTGCTATGACATATTACCCAATATGCCACACGGATGACATAGATATAGACGAACCAAGCCAAGATGAAATATCATAAAAGAAACATTGAAAAACAATATCAGACCAAGGTAGAGCCAATTAACAGCAGAAAACCTAAAGTATGGAGAAAATTTATTAATAACCAAAGTAAGTAAACCGATTAAAACAATTCGGGTAAGAAAACAAACATCTTTGTCTTCAAGAACAAACATGAGAGAAAAGATAATGAATTTTAACGGAATAAATGAAAGAGTAGATGCAGAAGACTAAAACTAAGCAAACATTATGTGACAATAATAAGTGTTTATATCAAACATAATCTGAAAAAGAAGATTGTCACGAATTGTTATAATAAGTATGCAATTATGGTAATTAGAGGAGAAACATAAAATACGGGTCTGGATCTAAATAACCAATTGAACAAAAAAGAATAAATATATTCACGTGGAAATATATTCATGCCTGGAAAATATAATATGTTTTGTAAAACAAAAATATAATCATCTATAAAATATAACAGAGCAATTCAAATACAAATTAATTGTAATATAGGCTTGATAAGTGTCAGCAAGATATAGTCAATATTTACCAAATGCTTTTAAACGCGCCTAAAAATACAACAAAAATACAACCTCTAGAAACAATCAAAACGATAGATAGTATCTACCAAAACAACACAATAAAAGTAAAAGTAGAAGAAGAACTAATCGACCCTATTGAAGCTGGCAATGGGATAAGACAGGGAGATTCTCTGAGTCATATATTGTTCAACCTGATTATGGATGAAATAATAAAAAAGTAAGAACTAAAAAAGGATACCAAATGGGAGAACAACAACTAAAAACAATCTGCTATGCAAACGACGCAATATCTCAAAGTAAAGATAATTTACAACGTATGCTGCACCAATTTAATATAACTGCCAGAAAATTTAACATGTTAATTTCCACAAAAAAGACAAAATGCATGGTTACAACAGCAAATAATTTACTAAGATGTAAATTGGAGCTTTACAAAAAGGGAGTACATATGTGGGAAATTATTAGTATAATTTCCGTGTATGTGGACTGTATTATATAGGGCTGGTTCAATAAAATTAGGATAAGTAATCAAAGGTATACAGACAATAGCAAATTAAGTTTATCGAAAGTCTTACCAATATTTTTTGGTCCACACTCTAACGGTTGTTTCCGGTCTTCACTCGTGGTTATTCTTCACCCGCGAAATCTTCCGATGCACCGGTTTCTGAACACGTGTTTCGCAAATATATCACGATATAGAGCACACTTTGTCTGCACACGATTTACTATGGTATTTTTGATATTTATCGCGTAACTAAAGCGGAGAACAGGTAATTACAATAGAAAAACAGCCAATATAGATGCTGTTCTTCTTGATAAGCGAAGAGAGAGAATGAAAGAGAGAGTAAGACTGGCTCTAGCGATGGCCAGATCAAGAGAGAGAACGTCTGGCTTTAGCGATGGCCAAACTAAGAGAGTGAGAATGGTCTGTCCTTAGCGACGGGCGACCATCGAGAGAGTGTCTTTCTTCTTTGCTATCTTGAAACTGTCTGTATTTCTAATGGAGAGGGGGTAAAATGTAAGTAGGAAGGGTTATTAAGGGTGGAACTAAGATAATGATTGTAAAATTGTGATAAAAGGATAGTTAATAATACAGCGAAAAAATAACATGATTTTTCGCATGTGAAAAAATTGAACAGGAGCTGAAAGGTCAGATAATAGAACAGATGATGGAGTTTAAATATCTAGTCATCACATTATCTAGCTACAAAAAGCTCGAAACTGAAGTGGAATATCAAGTGAATAGAGCAAATAAAGCTGCTGGCTGCCTGAATGTAAAAATATGGAGAAATACGAATATCGGGAAAGAAACGTAAGACAGAATTAAGAAGAAGACAGAAAAAATGGACAGAAAGGACAAAATGTATGTTAGAAACAACAGAGATAAAAACACTTGCAAAAATTGATTCAGAAAATAGGAAGACGATCAGTAGGAGGACCACGTAAACGATGGAACGACAACTTAGTCGAAGCACATTGAAAAACAGACAGAGTCATGTCTACATAAAAAGAAGAAGAAGAAAAAGTAGAAAAATACAACTTGTGATATTATTACTACATTATTTAGAATCTGGTGTACGTGTACATGGTCAGTCGTGGTAATAAAAATTCAAAAAATGACTACCTACCATCAAGTCGAATCTTGTTTAATATTTTTGAATTATAATGGTAGGCATAGACTTCTCCTTTTTCAATACTAACAAAGAATAATACATTTTTTCGACTGTCCCAGTGAGGTCCTTCTGATAGACCTAGTGGTGTGGTCAGCTGGTGAACGCAAGGACTATCCAAATCTGCAGATCTAAAAACAAATAAAATATATAGTGTGAGATTTTAACATTTTGAAGTATATTTAGCGTACAATAACAGTGGCGTACAATTTTTTGATGATGAATATAAAATTGTAGTTGTATATTAAAAAATCCTAATAACCAGTTCTTAAAAGCCACCAAATTTTATTTGCATATCTCAACTAGTTTTAGAATAATAAATAAATCGTTAGTTTGTAAGAAATGTTAAAACCCCGTATCTCTAAACAGGAAGCAAATGCAAACATACATATAACAAACTGTCATTATTTTTCGTGGAAAAATTACACCCTGAAGTCAGTTGCACGTATTTCCTAAAACTGTATATTTTACAAATAAATGTGTCAATAAAAAGGACTAAAAACCAACAGTTCAAACTTCTGTTAACGCAGAAACAATTGATTTCTAAGTCTTGGTGAAATAGTAAGTTTTAATAAATAGAACCAAAACTATATCTCTGCAAAGTTTAAGTCAATTTAATTAAAACTAATTTTACATAAGAAAAGTACCGGGGTTCTTTGTTAATTTCATCATCATCATCTTGGTGCTATAGCCCTTAGAGGGCCTCGACCTTCTCAAGCTTTCTACGCCATTCTGTTCTGTCCCTTGCTTGAATTTTCCAGTTGCCGACTCCGATCTTCTCCGCATATTGTGTTACCCCATCCATCTGCCATAACCTCAGCTTTGGTCTACCCCGTCGTCTCATTCCCACAGGTTGCGCTGTTAGAATCTTTTTTATCGTGTTCGATTCAGGGGCCCGGGCTACATGTCCTGCCCACTGCAGGCGGTTTCGCTTAATTATAGTGGTAATATCTTTACCACCAAACGTATGCTTGTAGATATTCTGCAGTTCGAAGTTATATCTACGCCTCCATATTCCGTTCTCACAGACCGCTCCAAATATCTTGCGTAGCACATTTCTTTCAAAAATGGATAGAGCGGATTCATCTGTTTTCGTTAGCGTCTATGCCTCTGATCCGTATGTGAGAACGGGGACTATCAGTGTTCTATACAGCCTTATACGAGTTTTTTGAGATAGACGTTTGTTAGCTAAGTACTTTGATAGACCATAATAACACCTTTGCAATTATTATTCGCCTTTTTATTTCCTCAGATGTATTGTTATTGGGGTTAACCGATGTCCCTTGATATATGAACTCATTGACTGCTTCGAAGTTTTGGTCATCGATGATTAAATTTGTGTCAACATTTCCAGCTCTTGTGTTTGTGTTAGTCGCCATGAATTTGGTTTTATTTTGATTTATATGTAACCCCATTCGTTCTGCTGCTGCTACTAGCTCGGTTAAGATTTCCGCAGTTCTCGCCCTAGTTCTTGTTATAATGTCCACGTCGTCTGCATATGCTAGAATTTGGACTGATCTATTAAATATTGTTCCCCTGCTATCTAAATTAGCGTCTCGTACAACTTTTTCTAAGGCGACATTAAAAAGCTGACACGCCAGCGCATCTCCCTGCCTTAACCCCCTATGTATTTGAAATGGGGTTGACGAGTCGTTTTGAATTTTTACTGCTGATAGCATCTTCGCCATTGTCACTTTTATCAAACACATGAGTTTTTTTGGAATTCCTAACTCATTCATAGCGTTGTAAAGACTTGGTCTTAAGACACTGTCATATGCCGCTTTAAAATCGACAAAAATATGATACATCTCTATGTTAAACTCTTGCGCTTTTTCGAGGATCTGTCGTAGTGTAAAGATCTGGTTAATGGTTGAACGTCCAGGCCTGAATCCTGCCTGATATTCCCCTAGAAACATTTCAGTATAAGGCTTTAATCTCTCGTGCAAAATATTTGATAATATCTTGTATTCTGTATTTAGGAGAGTTATTCCGCGGTAATTATTGCATTCCAGTTGGTTTCCCTTTTTATGTAACGAGCAAATTAAGCCTAAGCTCCATTCTTCTGGGATTTTCTCCTCAGACCAAATTCTACAAACAAATTCTCGCATCACCTTGGTGAGCTGCTCTCCACCGTGCTTAAATAAATCTGCTGCGATGACATAGCTACCTGGGGACCTATGGTTCCTTAGTTTTTCTATAGAGATTTTTACTTCATCTACCGAGGGGGGTTCCACGAGTTCCTCATTTCGGTATTCCAGCTCTATATTGTTAGTAGGTTCCCCTTCCAGCAACTCTCGAAAGTGCTCTACCCATCGTAAAACGATGTCCTCTTTGTTGGTAAGTAAGTTGCCTTCCTTATCATTACAATAGTTGATTCTTGGTTTGAATTCTTTTCTAATACTATTTATTTGATGGTAGAACTTTCTTGTTTCTCCGTGACTCATATGGCTTTCGAGCCGTTCTAACATGTCATCTTTGTTAATTTACCACTTATATTTATTACTGATTCAATCAAAACCTCAGTATCATAACAAATTGGACATATCTTAAATTACATATTACAAAAATAGAGATGTCCATATAAAAATATAATTTTTATTTTTTTTTATTATTGAGTTAATGCCTCGACAACTAAGATCATTGGCATGATACAGTCAGGTATCTATTGTGTAGTGTGTGTATGTAGAGGAATTGTCTTGATACTTAGCAAAGTCGACGTCATTGTCTTTGCTAAGAGACGCTAATTGTATCCGAACGTCTGCGGTCCCTCTGGTGAGTACCGATCGCACAAGGTTAGAAATTATTTTCATTTATTAATTTTTAATAAACGAAGATTTCTCCACCCAGATGAGATTCGAACTCACGACCTTTAGGTTTAAAGGTAGGCGCTCTTACCACTGAGACACAGAGGTAGTTAAATATAATTTTAAAACATATATCTTTATGAGAATTTATTTATATTTTTTCTTAACGTCTGGTCATAAATTTTATTCAAAACAAAAAAATGAAGATGCATAAAAAATAAGGAATTTGCATCTTTAGTATAACAAAAAAAATTACAATATAAGGTTGAATGTTCGAATAATTAAACTTTGACGGTATACAAGGCAACTATCGAACACGGTGATTAATTTAATCTTGCCCAAGTACTTTCGATCAATACATCATCTTCAGGGGCATCTGAAATAAGCCAAGAAACGTTTTTTATAAAAAAGGAAAATTAATTCACTTGGATAAAAAACTCCAAGTTTATGGTTGAAAAAATTTTATATGTGATTTATAGACTTACTTCGTCAGTTGTGGCCTATCCGACATGAGTAGAATGTCATAAATGTAAATTTGGACATAACAATACAAAATACAATGCACAAAGACAAACACTTTAAAATTTTTGAAAACGAGAAGCTACATGTTGTATAGAAGCCGAAGACAGAATGGGCTCCCGGTCTGACGGAAATATTGAGATGACATGTGACAAATGACAGCTTGTGAAGGGCAGTTATGTGATCTGCACCTTTCAAAATTCTATGAAACTAAGTATTGACCAAAGGTCCAACTGACACCACTATAGGAAATCAACTGATGAAATATAAAATTATATAGTATATTTTTTATGTAGATCAAATAATCAAAATGTCACACTCAAACCTGTCTATAATAATTAGAATGTTAGTTTGAAAGCAATTGAAGTTGACATAAAGTATGAATGTAAGAAAAGACTAAACAATATATTAGACAGTGGATGGTTGACTACAATAAAATGGTCCACCAACCGCTATCAGTACTGTAAAAAATTAAAAATCTGAATATGCAATTAAATTACTAAAGGTTAAAATCAAAATTGAAGATAAAATATATAAATGGGTTATAATCCAAGTAGTTCAGTTGAATTTCCAAGTAATCCAAGTAGTTCAGTTGACTATTTCCCGTAATAAAGATTCTTTAGAGTACAACATTTATAGAAATCCCACCCAAACCGATCACGTTATACATGGAACGTCTAATCTCCCAACTCAACATAAAATGGCTGCTTTCAACAGTTACATTCATCGGCTACTTAAATTTCCTCTTTCTGATGATAATTTTAATACAGAACTTAATACTCTTAAGCAGATTGCTTTAAATAATGGCTATGATCCCAACATTATATACAAACTTCTAAATAGAGCTAAACTAAAAATTGCAGAAAAGCTTGCATATTTTTCAACCGAATGCTTCAGATAACATCAGATATTTCTCCTTCACTTATACTAGTAGCATTTCCAATAAAATATCTAAACTTTTTACTTCTACAATTGATAACATCAAAATTTCCTTTAAATCACATAACACTTTAGGTTCCTTCTTAATCAATACCAAAGATAGGATGAATACACTTCATAAAAGTGGTATTTAAAAATTAAAATGTGATGATTGTGATGCCTCTTATGTAGGTAGAACCATCAGAAAGTTATCCACTAGAGTCTCTGAACATTTGAAAAGACCAAATTCTTCAAGTTTTGGTCAACACTTAATATCCAGCAACCACAATTTTAACATCAATTCTGGTTCATCTATCTTACATGACATTAGTAGAAAGAAAAACTATCTGGAGGTGGATTTATTGGAAGATTTGGAGATTACAAGGGACACAAATGAAAACTCTCACTGTCTTAATACTCAAATTAATTTAAATTATATTAAATTTAATCCTATATTTAAAAACTTTATTACAGCTTCACCTCGTAGAGGACCCAGCTCGACTGTTTAGACTTCATGCACTGAGCATTTCAATATTAATTTTAAAGTTCTTCCATTGACTGTGGATTCAACTGAACTACTTGGATTATAACCCATTTATATATTTTGTCTTTAATTTTGATTTTAACTTTTAGTAATTTAACTGCATATTCAGATTTTTAACTTTTTACAGTACTGATAACGGTTGGTGGACCATTTTATTGTAGTCAATCATCCACTGTCTAATATATTGTTTAGTCTTTTCTTACATTCATACTTTATGTCAACTTCCCTTGCTCTCAAACTAACATCCTAATTATTATAGACAGGTTTAAGTGTGAGATTTGGATTATTCAATCTACACAAAAAATATACTATATATTTTTATATTTCATCAGTTGATTTCCTATAG